CCCCAAAACCCCAAAACCCCAAAACCCCAAAACCCCTGGGAAATAGATCTGAATGATGTAATGCATAAGACAAAATAATTTGTATCATTTCATTGATAATAGCTATATTAGTTTTATTATTCGTAGTTGTTAGATCCATTTTTATAGTTAGCGGAGTTGTTGTTGCTGCCAGTATAATTACTATGCTATCCGTTTTTCTAAGCTTATTTCCCTTCCATCCTTATATGGAAAGACATACTCTCAGATGGGTTCTACATACTTTTAGTTCTCCAGTGTTGTTGCATTAGTTGCTGATTAATCTGAGTCACAGACTTAGGCTAGAATTGTTGTTAATTAGTGTGCTGTTACTGATGTGCTGAAATCTAGCCGTACTGATTCGCATTCTAAGTGTTGTTACTACTATTATTTGAAGAGAGATTGTTGTTCAAGTTGTCGCTATTTCTCTTTGACACCTACTAACTAAAATGATAGCCACTTTCATTTCCTAGTGAGTTTGTATAGTGGTGGCTGGGATTATGCATCGGATTCTTTTCAATTGAGTTATTATAGTTAATCACAGAGTCCGCTAAATTATTTGAATACTATGTTGAGGGAGTAAGATGCTATTTTTGTGATGAGTTCATTGCTCCTGCATTGTTAGGGGTGGAATTACAGCTGCTTACTATGTATTTAAATACCTTTAGGCAATCAATATTGTTTTCTCCAATGATTTCTAAGATAATACCTTAGTCTTCCTCAAGTAGTTTAATTGGATTATCTGAGTTTTCAAGTATCTTAAGAACTTATTCAAATTTATCCTCTCCTATCTTTTGTTTCAAGAAATTTGAGAACAATAGTGGCCTGTTTGGGGAAATGGGTAATTCAGGATTGAATAATAGATTCTCAGAGAATAAAAAATGTTTGCCCTTTTGGCTATTGCTCGAGTCACTTACTATTTAGTCTTAAGGGGTTTTTGCTTGCTTCTTACAATTAGTGTTATTAAATGGGCTAGCAGTAGTATTTGCAGTCTGATTATTATTAGAGTTTGTGCTAGTAGGTAAGTTGGTTTGATTACCACTATTTGTTTAACAAAAGGAGTTACTATTCTTAGCAGACCTATCGTTGTAAGACCTCTTCTTATATAGCATAAGTTATTGCTACTTTTTAGCCATCATGAATTTATTGTTTGAGGGCTCAAGGTTCGTGTTAATCTGAATTGGCTTTCTAAGCACTTAAGATTCCAAGTCCTATCCATTCATGCCTAAGACTATCTCATCTTATTAGAAACCTTGGTTTTGATTTTATTATTGCTACAGATTATGCTGCTATTAATGCATCTTACTTTGATGCTGCTCAGTGTATTAATTGTCAGGGAATTATCTTGCTGCGATTGACTTTAAATTTTTCATAAGCCCTCGCTGTTTGAAGTCCTAAAGAGAACTAACACTCAAGTTTTCATAATTATTACTTTACTATGACTTGTTCTTTATATCATTCTAAATATTACTAGACTTTTTCTGTGATTCAGTGCTTATTAACTATGCAGTTTGATTGGTTTACTATTGTGCTTACTGTCTAAGCTTTATCTATGATTAAGAGTTAGAGCTTTGATGAAAGCTCCTAGAACCAAATATCTATTAAAATTGCTCTCTGCTTTAAGATATTTTCCCATTATTTGGCTACTTTTGTTAGGAAGAAGATATGTTAGAATTGTTTAACTGTGAATTGCTTGAAGATTAATGACTCATAGTAAGATTTTATTGCTGCACCTATTAGTATTAGATTTGACCATTCAATTGAACCTTAGAATTTTTTATGAGCTGATTATAACTCAACATTGCTTTATCGTGCAGATTCCTGCTATTTGAGAATACTGATGGAATTATCTCTCTTCTTCCTTTTCTTTCCTCTTCATCACCCAATTCCTCATCAGCATCATCTACATTTTCTTTAACTTTTAAATTAGATGAGTTTTTCTAGCCAAAGGGTAAGGGAGACAAACTTTACTAAGTATCTTCTTCTTATGTTGTTACAACATTAGATTAATTTGGTGAGCTTACTTTTTTAGCCTATTAAATAAGATAGTAAATGCTATTCTATTTTATTTTACCAGCTGCTCCTTACCCTCCGCTATTCCTATTCAACTCTGGGGTTTTCGGTTCAGGTTTATTATTCACTTTATTTGATTCTGTTAGTTTATTTTATCCACTATGTCCATATAAATTATCATCACTTCCAGCAGTTAATTATTTAGAAGGTCTGCCTATTACAGATTTGTTTTATTAATGATTGAATCTCTCAAATCGGTTTTGATTAGATGCTTCCTTCTATGGACTCATTAATCGTTACAAATTCTTGCTATTTCCATATCCAAAAAGCAAGTCAACATCATCAACGTTATTGCAATCTTACTCAGTCTTGACTTAGTTCTAAACATGCACAGAGTCAATCAGATTTCCAACAAATGTAAAGCTGCATTCCTTTGGTGATCCTGAGGGCTTTTGATTCTTATCTTATTTCAAAGATTTGGAAACTTATTCTTAATACTAATTTGGATTGTCGGCGTGGATTTTTTGAACTTAATGCTAAATCTAAGGTAAGCTGAGAACTTCATCAATTGAAGCTCTTAAAATTGTATTTTTCTAGAGAAGCATATCAAGTAATTTATGAAATATCGGTTCATAGTCTTTGTTGAGTTCGATATATGGTTAATATATAATTTTGTTTATGACTTGCTAAAATGAATTTGATATTTGAATAAAATCTTACATTTAGGTTGTCGCCCTCAAAGGGTCTTCTTAATGTACAAAGCTCATAAAGAATACAGCCAAGCATCCAAGTATCAGATTTATAATCATACTTTTGGCCCATACAAATCTCGGGGGACAAATAGTAAGGAGTACCCAATGATGTTCATGCAAAATCAGAAGTGTTTTCGAGCACCTTAGAGATACCGAAATCTCCGATCTTCACTTGATTAGCTCTTGTGAGAAATATATTCTAGCTCTTAAGATCTCTATGCAGAATTTTCCTTGCATGTATATGCTTAATTGCTAGACACAGTTAGCAAAACCAACTAATGACCTGAATAAGTAAACTCTAAATATTTTACTTGCTGTCTCGGGAAGTGCTTTTATTGTGTTTTAGCCTCTTTTATTTTTTTCTGTAAGTCACCTGATTGTAAATTAATCCCCATTGAAATTATTGTTTTGGTGAGTTGTACTTACCATTTTCAGCAAAATCCATGACAATGCATAGCTTATTCTTGTTAAGGAATGATTCGTAGTACTTTACGACGTTAGGATGATTCAAAGTCTTGAGTACAGCAATCTAAAAAATGATTATTCATAAGAAAAAATGAAATTCTTTTATCGTACTTCGTTATTGATTTCTTTCTTTTCCTGTTATTCCAGTTCAAATGGGACTCTCTTCATGGCATATAACTACAATCAAAGTTAAAATCTTAATTTTCAAAGTTTGAAATTTACTTGTTCATCATCTTTCTTCTTTACTAAGAGTACATCTCCGAATGTCCCTCTGCCTATCTGCTTAACCTTCTCATATTTTTCCATGCTGCTGAATATATTATTTTAATAATATGTATTTCAATTTAAAAACGTAATATTTATAGATGAGCCCTTAAAAAATCTTCCACTTTTTGGAGTTGGGGTTTTGGGGTTTTGGGGTTTTGGGGTTTTGGGG